ACCCACCCACCACCACACACCACCACACACACACACACACACACACACACACACACACACACACACACACACGGTATTTTCCAAGTGGTTGCTCTTTGGAAAGTTGCTTAAAAGAAGAGAACACCCTGACACTGCCGATGTCACGGGCTTAGCTGTGCTACAGTAGAGGTTGCTGCTGGGAATTGCCGCGCATGCCCTTCATTCACTTGCATTACTAAAGAACTGATCATTTTGGGAGTGGGGAGTGTGTAATGTGCCTGCTGAGAGCAGCATGCCGTGATCTACCCCTCACACGTCCTGTTTGCTTCAAACATAGGAGCCCACTCGTGGACCAGAACCTCATTGTGCTAGGTGCTGTACAAATGCAGAACAAAAAGACAGTTCTTGCCCCAGAGAGCTCACTTTTCTGGAGCTGTTGGATGATACTGGGAACGGAATGTTACTGGCCCCTTGTTTTTAGTACCAGTGGCCTATGTGAAATGAGTCGTGAATCTTGGTAGAGTTCCCAGTAAGTCCATGTCACGGCTGCCAGTAAAAAGCCCCTTTCATGCCTTTTTCACCAGGGGAGTCAAGTAGTGAATGGGATGCAGACAATAAACTACCTTCTAGAAGTGGCCCCTGTAGGTTAGAATTGAGGCCAATTGCCAGGGCAGTATAAGGAAACTTGCCTTGCTGCTGCTCATGCTATGTCTATTTGATGAACAAAAACTGAAAGGACGTTTGTCTCCAGGACTGTTAATCAAACACCTCTCGCCAGCACTAGATTCACTTTATTAATATAAGTACCAAGTCTCAGGTGCTCTGATACAACATTGATGGGTAAGTTCTAAAAACCCAGATAGTCTTCCCTAGGCAAGAGAGAGGATGCACTTTTGACTCTCTTCTGTTTGTTCACAGGTGGACATAATATGTGGCGATCACCTTCTAGAACACTACCAGACGCTGAGGGAAATCCGCCGAGCTATAGGAGACGGTGCTATGCAGGTAAGGATGGTGGCTAGCCTGTGTTGTAAAACGTGAGTTCTGAAATAGTGCTCTGTTTAACTGAACAGCAGTGTCTGCTAGAAACGCTTTCACCCATTGGTACTCTGCTCCTCGAGAAATCACTACTTCATGCTGTTATGAGATCCTGTCAGGTTAAGTTTAGACAAGATACATTAACCAATAAAGCTTTGTTTATTGTACTGGTAACTGAGCTGAACACCATGTGTTTTGAGTTTTTGATGGTTCACTGGAGTTCTGGATATGAGCTTTGATTCCTTTTTAGAACAAGTTGGTGCAATAACCACAATGAATTAAACCAAATCGTTCTCCATTAGTATTTCATCCTTCACCCCCACCCCTGGGAATCTGTAACTCAGCAAGGTATCAAAAGGCAGAAGCAGCCCAAACAAGACTAGCCTTGTGATTGCATGGGGGAGACAATTTGCATATAAAACCCCATAGCAAAAGATGTAGCGTAATAAATGCCAGCAGTGTGCCTGATGCATATGCTACAGCTCCTAAGGAGGGAGAGAAGATGTACAGCCAGCTCTCTTGTTGATAACTTACGGACTGTATTGCTGCTGGCTTGTTACAAAGTCCCATATCTGGAGCACACCTCTAACAAGTGTTTGTCTAAGCTGTTCTTAAAAACCTCCAGTGACAGATATTCTACAACCTCCCTAGGTAATTTGTTCCAGTACTTAACTGTTGGACAATTAGTCTAACTGGCAATGGCTACCGTTCAGTGTTGAGGGGCGCAGGGTGTTTTATGGGTTTAGTAGCTATCTCTAAGGTCACAGATTTATAGAGCTAAGTTTGACAGTGTTCAGAGTGACAGAACATTCAGAGGTAGAGCTGGGGGACCCATTTCTTACCCCATTGCTGCTAGCCTACCCACCACATCTTCTTGTGTGTACTGTACCAAGAAAAAAGCTCTTTTGTGCTTTTGAAATATTTCCAAGTATTGGCACTAAGTGATTGGTGTGTAATAAACTGTTTTAGAGATGCAGCAGTGAAATATCGTGTATCCAGTGTAGTGCGGGATATTGGTGCACAACTGCATTCTGTTGTAAACTGTGCCTTCATCTAAACCCAAAATTCTGAAAAGGGTGTTTAATGTCTACTCTGAATCTAACACCCATCTCCTGTAGAAAACTGTGTTGAAGCAATCTTATACTTGTCCAGCAAAAATAAAAATAAGGCAAGAAATGCAAAAGTTAAGTATCCAGCAGCAAGTTTCATTCTGAGCAGTCACACATACAAGTGTAACTTTCCTGGGAAATCTCTTGTATGTTGGGGAACCCCCTTTAAAATGGAGGTCTAGGGGTGGGTGCTAGTTTTGAGGGGGCCCTGGCAGTGCAGCTCCTCTCCCAGAGCATCAGGGAACTGCAGGAGTCTCATGGTTCGTGCAAAGGCACTGGATATCCATATGGATAGTCCTGGACCCCCAACAGATCCCCAAGATCTGTTGGGTTTGTGGGCTGCACCCCAATTTCTGACACGAGCAGAACAAATCCCAGCCCTCTTCCTGTGGCCTCTGTCAGAAGAATTCAGAGAAAACGCTCTAAGTGTAGCCTAGCCCAGTTTCCTGGAAAACCTCATCCTTAAGCCAAAGTTTTTCATCTTTAGAAAGCATTCTTGAGAGGGGACTTTCAGGGAAATGGCATTGGTTTCATTTTTTGTCATGTATGGATCTGCCGGGTTGATATGTTGCTGGATGATGTCCATAAGAATGGCCATGCTGGGTCAAACCAGTGGTCCATCTAGCCCAGTATCCTGTTTTCTGACAGCGGCCAATGCCAGATGCTTCAAAGGGAATGAACAGAACAGGGCAATTGTCAAGTGATCCATTCCCTGTCATTCAATCCCAGCATCTGGCAGTCAGAGGCCTAGGGACACCCAGATCATAGGGTTGCATCATTGACTATCTTCACTAATAGACATGGATGGTCCAGTCACTACTCCAGGAGGATTGTTGACTAGAAATGCATCCTGTGACTGCAAAATCAGTACATTAATTGATGAAGTCTTCTAGAAAACCCTGCAACATTGGTGGACAAGAAAAGGAGAAGTCTTGAGGTTTCTTAGGCACTTCATTTTGAGACCAACACCAGATTTTGCATCCTAAGTACCAGGGCCGGCTCCAGGCACCAGCCGAACAAGCAGGTGCTTGGGGCAGCACCTGGAGGGGGGGCGGCGCTCCAGCGGCCGGGGAGAGCGGAGCCAAGGCGGGCTCACCGCCCTCCCCCTGGCGCCCCGGCCGGTCGGGGAGAGCGGGGCCCCGGCCAGGCTTGCCGCCCTCCCCCTGGCGCTCCGGCCAGTCGGGAGAGCAGGGCCCCGGCCGGGCTCGCCACCCTCCCCCCGGTGCTCCGGCTGGCCGGGGAAAGCAGGGCCCCGGCCGGGCTCGCCGCCCTCCCCTGCCGCGCTCCCCGCCGGGGGCAGCGGGAGGCTTTTTTGCCTGGGGCAGCAAAAAAGCCAGAGCCGGCCGTGCTACGTACAGCTTTATTTAGTTGCAAATCCATTAAGATGACCAAACAATTCAGATAGGTAGTGCTGCTGCTTCTTTTTTGAACTGATTGGAAAGATCTGTCAGCAAAGCCAGTTCACAGACATACCCTGCAATCTGGCAGCACCTCTTTAAGCTCTGTAGTATCACTTTTTCAGAAACAACTGGATTTCTCTTTTTAAGACCATCATACTTTGCAAAACATTTTCTAGCACTTCTCTAGTCCAAACTTTGCTGGCTAAGCAAATTTCCACTTTGCTGGCTAAGCAAATTGGACATCTGTTTTTTCCCCAAAACGCCTGAAATTTTACATGCAAGAGACTGGCTCCCACCACAGCTTGATTAGTAACTTTCACCGCTGCTTTCCTTTCGTGGTCATATTTCAAGGACTTTCCACACAAGGATTTTTGATGCCTTTTATACAGAGATTTAGGAAATGTTCCATCCACCCTTGGAGCCACCAATGCCCCTAGCTCCATCCATCATGATGCAGAAACGTTTATCAAAACCACCATATTCATTTTGTCATAAATGACTACGCCTGTTGTAGTTCTGTGCAAAGAGAATAGCGTCAGCAGGGCCTTGTGTAATGTGTAGTAATCTGAAGGGATATGAACGGTTAACAACTTAATTCAGTATTATCCCAGCTCTCTTCTAGGGCTAGAGAACAAGTGACTGCACTTCTGAATCATATTTTTCATGTGCGCATTCATTCATGTCTGCAACTAATCTTGCTACCATCTGAGACAGTTACGCAGTTTCAAAATTCCTCTTCATCTTGTCATCACCAAAACCCTTCGTTGCACTGCCCTCCCTAAAAGGTTTCTCCAACTTAGCTAATTCTAGCAACAAAGCATAAAATAACTCCAGGCTTGATTTTTTTTTTTCTCTCCCCTGCCCACCCCATCCCCTCGGTTATAGTTGTAGTAAGAGTAAATCCTTTTTTGGTGTTTGCGCTCTCCTTTTCAATAGCTGCAATAAGTGCTCAAGACTCTGTTTACTTTTTTCTCTTCATGTAACAACTTGTACCAGTGACTGGGATCGTTCTCATTATAAACTTGATAACTCCTACAAATGCAAGACACCAAGCTTTTCATTGCTTTCAGCAACCGAATAGTCCCACAATCTTGGAATGCTGCATTTTGGAATATTAAGTGTAACCTAGTAGGAAAATGAATTAACAACAAGAAAATATATTTAGGTTGCTTTTAACAAACCAATTACACACCTTGTAAAACTTGAAAGTGGACAGCTGGGTTTAGACTAACATGTTGCTTCTTTGGCAGATTAGTGTTAAACCTTGTGTTCCTCATGACATTCTTCTTTTGATCTTGCTGCAAGCTAAAGTTCACTTTGTAAACTGCTAGCCTTGCAATACACTTCAGCTGTAGCTTGGTTTCAGAACAGATTCTTGAACATCTGTTCTTGTCGATGCTTTACCTTTCGAAAAGTTTATTCTATTTCAGGGACTGATTTATTTTCCTGGTGTTTTGTTTGTTTTGTGTTGTGTCTTTTCCCCAAGATCACACAGAATTAACTTTAAAAAAAAACCAACTAAAACCAAAAGTGATTTCTAAAATTAAGCATAGCTAGCTTTGTATGCAACTTGTGGGATTCACTGTCCGAGAAGATTGGACAAATACTGGGACTGAATTTTTAAAAGGGCTGGATAATTTTATTATCAAACAAAACTGTAGAGTAAGAATAATATTGAGCCTTCTGTTCAAAAGCACTTTGTGATCCTTGAATGAAAGGCACTGTGAGTACAAAGAACTATTATGCTCACTAAAAAAACATCATAGCATGAGCTGTGGGATCAGGAAGGAGTACTTCCTCTGCAAAACCCCATGTACAGCATTGCACAATTGGCTAGAATGCATTATCATAGAGTCATGGAAATGTGGGACTGGAAGGGACCTTGATAGGTATCTAGTCCAGTCCCTTGCACTGAGGCAGGATTAAGTATTATCTAGACCACCTCTAACAAGTGTTTGTCTAAGCTATTCTTAAAAACCTCCAATGACAGATATTCTACAACCTCCCTAGGTAATTTGTTCCAGTACTTAACTACCCTGACAGTTAAGAAGTTTTTCCTAATGTCTAACCTAAATCTCCCTTGATGCAATTTAAGCCCATTGCTTCTTGTCCTATCCTCAATGGTTAAGGAGAACGATTTATCACCCTCCTTGTACACCAACCTTTTACATACTTGAAGACTGTTATCATGTCCCTCCTCAATCTTCTCTTCTCCAGACTACACAAACCCAATTTTTTTTAGTCTTATAGGTCATTTTTCTAGACCTTTAATCATTTTTGGAGAAAGTCCAGAGGAGAGCAGCAGTTTGTCCACATCTTTTCTGAAGTGTGGTACCCAGAACTGGACTCAGTACTCCAACTGAGGCCTTATCAGTGCTGATCAGAGTGCAAGAATTACTTCTTGTGTCTTAAGTACACCACTCCAGCTAATACATCCCAGAATGATGTTCACTTTTTTTGCAACAGAATTATATTGTTGACTCATATTAGTCTGTGACCCACTATAACCCCAGATCCTTTTCTGAAGTTCTCCTTCTTAGGCAGTCATTTCCCATTTTACAGTTTTGCAGTTGGATATTCCTTCCTAAGAGTAATACTTTGCGTTTGTCCGTATTGAATTTCATCCTATTTCTTCAGTTAGTCAAGATCATTTTGAATTCTAATCCTGTCCTCCAAAGCGCTTGCAACCCCTCCCACTTGGGGGACTCCGGGGTGGGGCTGGTGATGACGGGGTTGGGGTGTGGGAGGGGCTCAGGCAGAGGGTTGGGGTGCAGGAGTGAGGGCTGTGGGGTGAGGCCGGGTATGAGGGGTTCATGATGCAGGAGGGGGCTCAGGGCTGGGGCAGAGGGTTATGGTGCGGGGGGATGAGGGCTCTGGCTGGGGATGAGGGGTTTGGGGTGTGGGAGGGGGCTAGGGCAGAAGGTTGAGGTGGGGGGGTTAGGGCTCTGGTGGGGGTGTGGGCTCTGGGGTTGGGTAGGGCAGGTGATGAGGAGTTTGGGGTACAGGCAGGCTGCCCTGGGGCTGTGGCCAGAGAGGAGGACTCCCCCCAGCCCTCTCCCCGCCGGCAGCAGCGAGCTCCAGGGGAGGGGCCCCTTGCTCACCTCGCACCACTGTCACTGCATATGTTCCTAGGGCCCCCTCAGGTCCAGGAAGCCCCTCGCCTCCCCTGTGGTGGGTGCCAGAGGGGTTGTGGGGCTGCCATCACATGTGTGCCTCCTCCCCTCCTGCTGCCCCTCACTGTAGCCTCGCTGGGGGGGTGGCTGCCCGTTGCCCAACGTGGGGCAGGAGCAGTGATTGCAGGTGGGGGGTCCCTCCAGAAAAGGGAAGGGTCCCAGGCAGAAGGGCAGGGGCAGGGTCAGCCTGCCCTGGCACTAGTGGATGGGGGGCACTAGGACCCTGCGACAGCAGTTGATGCTGGGAGCCATCAGAGCGGAGTGCAGCAACAGGCTTGAGACAGGGACACTCCAATGCCTGGGGGGGGGGGGGAGCAGCAAGTGGGGCCCGGGGGATACTTGGCGGGGGCGGCAGCTGGGGCCGGGGGAGAGACCCAGCCCCAAACATTGATAGAGCCAGACCCTCGGGCCCTGAATATTGCTGGAGCCCAGGCACCACAGGGCCATGTAACTCACTGCCCCTGGACAGGTTCAGCACAGTCCTGCTTCCCTGTATTCCCAAAATAAATGACCACATTTTGGTAACAGCATCTCACTACCCCTGCATTCAGTACTAAAGAGATTTGTGCCCAACACCAGCCAAAATGGATTACTTTGACACTGCTCTATGTGCTGGATATCTAAGTAGAGCAGGAGCAAACTGTATTTACATAAACCAGGGGTTCTCAAGCTAGGGGTCCCTGAAATAGAATAAACTTTTCGAAAGGTAAAGCATTGACAAGAACAGATGTTCAAGAATCTGTTCTGAAACCAAGCTACAGCTGAAGTGTATTGCAAGGCTAGCAGTTTACAAAGTGAACTTTAGCTTGCAGCAAGATCAAAAGAAGAATGTCATGAGGAACACCAGGTTTAACACTAATCTGCCAAAGAAGCAACGTTAGTCTAAACCCAGCTGTCCACTTTCAAGTTTTACAAGGTGTGTAATTGGTTTGTTAAAAGCAACCTAAATATATTTTCTTGTTGTTAATTCATTTTCCTACTAGGGGTCACAAGGTTATGACATGGGGGGGGGTCACGAGCTGTCATCCTCCACCCCAAACCCCATTTTCCCTCCAGCGTTTATAATGGTGTTAAATGTATAAAAAAGTGTTTTTAATGTATAAGGGGGGGTCGCACTCAGAGGCTTGCAGTCTGAAAGGGGTCACCAGTACAAAAGTTTGAGAACCACTGATATAAACACACCCAAGTCTCTTACCCCCCTTCTCCCTCCTCCCCCCCGCTAGCTGTCAGGGAAGCATTCATTCAGACCCTGCTTACATCTGCAAAATGGGAATAATGATATTGACATCCTTTGTAAAGCATCTTGAGATCTACTGATGAAAAAGAGGTAGGTATTATTATTATTACTGCTGTTTAAATAAAGGATGTTACAGGCTGATACAATGCCTCACACACAGATGGTGCGTAACCCTTGTTTTATTACTTCAGCACATAATCAAGATCACATGTGAATTTATCTGCCCACCTGGCACCATTTCATTAGCATAATCAGTTACAGCAGAACATAGTAGAACCCCTAGCATGTCAACCACAATCAAAACCCTGTCTCCTATCATAAAAGCTAATCAAAGCCTGTCCAAACAGGTCCGATGCTGCATAAGTCAAACTCCTAAACAGCCGTCAGGGGAAGCGGGTTCAAAGGGTGAGCCCTGGACTGAGGATATCTTTCAAGCACCAGCTGTGGATTTTTAAACCCTGTAACTGACAGCGCTGTTGGTGGAATGTTCACATGTCTCTTATCAGAAGTGAAAGGCCCAATCTTGCACCAGGGAAGTTTTATGGGAGTTTTGCCATTAACTTACTGGGAGCAGGCTCAGGGTGCATGTCAATGGACCGTGATTTCATAAAAGAATAGATTTCTTTTGTCACTTATAGTTCAGTCAAGCTTTAACATGTTGCGCACTTAGCAGAGCACGTGGTGTAACTTCTAAATACCTGCGTTTAGGACTAGCTCATGCCTGGTAGGCACAGCTCAGAGCAAGGGGCGAAGCAAAGTCACTCTGGCTCAGGAACAGTAGTGAGGGGCATTCTGCCTAAGGGAAGCAAAAAAGCTTCCCAGAGCTCTCCAGCACAGAATGGTGAGCATCCCCATTGCTAACCCCCCATTTTTCCTGCATGTTCTTTGACACAAGACGGCGATAATTATCCAGGGAAGTGAAAAAGACAGTGTAAAAGTGGCTTTGGTTTGGTTTTCTCTTCAAGATCAAGTAAATCCCCCAGTCTGTTTTTATATAAGAATAAAACATTAAAATCAATTTTTGGGGGGGGTGAGAGCTGTTAACTGGTTTCATGGGAGGGAAAACCGTTCCTTCACTGTCTCTATCACATCCCTGGTAAATTATCAGACACAAGTTCTGTGTCGAGGGACATGCAGTATGTATTGCTGAGATGGAATCATACAAAACCTATAGTCTGGGGATATAAACACTTATGGTTTACAGTCCAGTGGTTAATTTCACTAAAGACATGTGCCTCCTTTTTAACCACACATTGCAGGGGCCATGTAGGAAGAGAGTGTGGAGCTGCTGTACTAAACTGCCATGTCTCGTTCTATATTAATGTAGTGTGTTTGAAAAGCTTCTTTCGCACGCTTGTGTGAGAGCGATAACTATAGGCAGGCCCAGCGTCAGCGTGAAATGTAACGTGCGTATACGTGAAAGTGTTTGAAATGTATACATCCAAAATAGCAATAGAATCATTGGCCATTAGCAGATGTATTGCTGCAGTCTCGGGCAGAGGAGGGTGTTCAGTGTTAGACTTCTACGCCACTCCTCTAGAGTATGGAGTATTTTACATGGGAAAGTAAATATCAAGCAGCACTCAGGAAGAATGTGAGATTTTAATGTTTTTATGGGTTTTTTTATATACTTATCCAGAACGTTGAATGGGAAACGTCTAGAAATTTGAATTAAAATAATACTTACTTGTAGCACTCTTCATCTTCAGTGCGTTTTGTGAACATTAATACACACTCCGGGCTGGTAGGTAATCATCACCTTTGACAGGAGGAAACGAAAGCAGAGGGGTGACGTGACTTGTCGAAGACCACAGACAAAGTTTGTCAGAGCTACGATTAGAACTCAAGATCTGCTCCCAGTCCCATGCTCAGACCATCCTGGACATACTGCCCTCTTTTCTATGTAATACTTCAGAGTCTTCCTCACTTTTGGTAGGTTGTGTTAAAGGGCAGGGTTTCTTCAGCTGCTTCTCTGATGGTTATTTTGGTGGTGGTGGTTGAGCAGAGACCATTTGGCTTGTACAATGGCACCATTTACACATCAGGACAACTTCAGGATGGTTTTAAAATAAAAGCAAAATAATTTGTACTGGAAGAAACAGATTTTTAAATCTTTTGGTTCGATTTCCCCACTTATGGGGGTGGCACTCTATTGCTTGGGCTTTTCAAAATTCAAGCTTATTGTAGGGAAACAGGGAGGTACAAAAATATCTTTATAGGATCTTCAGGAGACAGAAGGAAATGGACCTTTGACAGATGGAGCTAAGATTCTGGCAAACAGTGACTCTGTCTCTTGCTATAAAACTTCCTCTCCGTTAGCTGATTTGTTACTGTCCTAATGATACATTTTCCATTTCCCTCTAGGATGGTTTGCTTGTACTGCACTATGGCCTTGTGGTATCTCCGCTAACAATAACTTAAAGATTGCTAGACTATCAGAAGGTGAAAGGATCCAAAACATGAAGCTTCTTCAATGCTGTGTCTCACCAAAGAAGGTCCTCTTCCTTGCTTCCTGTCACAGGAAATAAATGAATGAAACCACCACTAACTGCTGTACACTTATAACTTAGCATTTGACTTTGCCGGGGTAAAAAAGTGCAGCCTCTGTAAGTACAGTTGTAAACACTGCAAAGCTCTATATTACAAATGATGCTACTTAAACTGTAGCTAGCTCAGGGAAAGCAGAATACTCAGAGTTGCTGAATTTTATTTTTAAATCCTTCTTAAATCCACAGGATCTCACAGGGTTAATTTGCTTTCTCCTCCACTAATCTTAATCTTGGGCAGGTCCCTAACTTCTTATCTCCGTAAGACCTTACCTACTTCTGAAGTATGTGGCTGGAATGGTGCTCTCAGGGATGATCTTCAGTGGGTGATGTCCCTTTTTGGGGGGAGGCGATACAATCATTTACCTAAAAAGAATGTCAGCAGCAGCTGACTTGATTTAGCAATGGTGGGCGGGGGGAGATTTTCCAGCTTGTCTGTAGGCCAAAATGGGTAAGCAACTTCACATGGGTTAAGTATTGACTTTCCTAATTCTACTGGAAGCAGCATTAAGGCATCGTTTCTCTTCAAGAAAACAAATTTCATCTGCACTAGGTCCAGAACTGGTAGTAGCTAGACTCATGTTAACTACTGTGTAACCATATAGCTCATGGTACGGCTCTCCGCATGGATGGACCAGTAGATTATTCTGTGCACAGAGGACATCAATGTATGACCTTCCCTCCATCTGTGATATATGTGAAATAATTAGACTTTCAGCCTGCTCCCATTGAAGTCAATCAGCTGACTTGCCTGCCAGCAGAATCAAGCCTTTCCTTTTTAACACCTCTCCTTACAATCCCAGCAAAAATGGAGACTCTTACGTTCTCTTCAAAGTACCATGTTGTAATGACCTTTGAATGCATTAAGGGGGAGACCATGTTTGAGGCTGCTACTGGGTGCAGGGCAATGGAATGAACATCTGTTACTACTACTGCTTCGACAGCTGCACAAAGACTATTAGGTAGTTTTTAATTTTAACATAACTGTAGTTCATGATCACTTAATATTTCAATATTCTGTTCTGTTTGTTATGAGGCTTTAATGATTTCTTCCACAGATATAAAAAACAGAGGTGTGCATGAGTAGAGTTTCATTGCATACTTGACTTAAAGGCCAGATTTCAAGGTAGCTGGGTTCCTAACTCCCATTGATTTTAATAAGAGTTAGGTGTCTAACTACCCTTTAAAAATCTGGCTCTTAATTCTTTAAAATCAATGTTTGTTTTGCCTGTGAAGATGACACTTTAAAAAAAAATCTTGTTTACCTAAAGTCACTTCTTGTGATGTTTCTAAAAATGTAACAAAAAAAATGTGTAGTCAAGATTTCTGACTTATTTTCAAGGTTTGTATAAAAGTAGTGCTGAAAATGGAGCAGAAAAAGGGATTATTTTGTAAACACTTTGTGCATTGTGTTGATAAGAGATTTTATCTTGTAAGAGTTAAATAAAGTTTTATTTTAGCCTACTTGAAATTCTTGTTATAAGAAGTATTTATTGCAGGACTACTCTTCTTCACCTTACCCTAAAATAATAGCCAGTGAGATTAATGAGATTACTACTAGACATTTTTACTTAATCGGAATCCACAAGTTTAAATGAGGAAATTAGAAAGTGGGATTTTAAAATGCCTGATCTCAATGGGGACTTTGAAATGTTCCGCATTTTGAGACTGTAAAATCTCTGGGGGATGCCTTTTTAATGAGGAATCCATTAAAAAACCAGAGGTTGATAGCCTGGTAAGACAGGAATCTGTTGCCACAGACACAGGAAGCTATAGGAGACTTCATTTTTAGACAAGCGCTTTTTTCACTGCATGTTGTAATGCACTTCTTGTCAGACTCCCTGCTTGCTCCATTTAATCCATGTAATACATTTCTTATCAGATGCAGTACGGCCATGTCTCTGGCTTCAGCTCTGATCTTCCTGGCTTGATACATGTCATCAAGCCCTCAATATGGCTGCTTCCTGTTTCATTACAACTTAATTTTTTTCGGTGTATATAGTATTTTAAAGAAATGACTGTTAACAATTTAGTCATGTGTTCTGCTGCAAACTCTTGCTTCGTCCAAGCTTGTGTTACATGCCTACAGAAGGGCTTGTTTTAAAAGACGAATGGCCATATAAAAACCTTGACTAATTTAAATCACGGTCATTCCAGAATGTCCATCTTTATAACAGACCATTTGTGCCTACAGCGCTGATTTCTGTATAGCCTCAAAATCACCGTGTTATCGTTAAGAGCGGCCTTCCCCACAAAGAAACCTGCCACCATTTCTGATGCAGAAGTCGGTCTCTCTTTCAAAAGAAATTCACTTTGATCACAGTTTGGCTAATCCCATTTGATCGGTCTGGTCGGTACGGTGCACATGAGCAGTAACCGCAGCAGAGGATCCGTGGCAGATTGTTGTCTTTACACCCAGTTTTTGCCGTATGCTTGAAGAAAGTTTGTGGTAAGCCCATCACCATGTGGTAGCCACCGTGTTCACATGCGATGGAAGAGGATTTATTTAAAACCAAATAGATAAATTGTGAGGATGCAGCTTGGGTGTATTTTTGCTGCTGCTACTGTTGGGATGAATGTGGCATGGCCTCTGTGATTCCTCCACTTCCCATTTTCCCTCTCTTCCTTCCTCCACTTCTCTCCCTTCGCTGCCTCCATACGGCACAACACTGAGGGCACGTCTTCAGTACCCGCCGATCCGGCGGGTAGCAGTTGATCTATTGGGGATCGACTTATCGCGTCTTCACTAGACGCGATAAAATCGATCCCCGATGGCTCTGCTGTCGACTCCGGAAATCCACCGCGGCAAGAGGCGGAAGTGGAGTCGACGGCGGCGCGGCAGCGGTCGACTCGCCGCCGTCCTCACAGCCAGGTAAGTCGACCTAAAATACGCAACTTCAGCTACGCTATTCATGTAGCTGAAGTTGCGTATCTTAGGTCGACAACCGCCCTCCCCGCCCCCTGTAGTGTAGACCTAGCCTGAGTCAGAGTCAGCCCTTTTGTCTGGCCAAGGAGGCCTGAAAATAAAGCATTCGGCTGCCCTGCCGTGCAACGTGCATTCAGTGCACTGATGTAGGAGATCACTGTTCATCTTTTGTCAAGCTCCTGCAGCATCTAATCGGGTTCTTTTGGCACTTTGACACAGAGTGGGGTGATGTCTGGTTAGTGCCAGACTGATCTGTGGGCTGTTCAGTTTCCCGCATGAAAGCTATGCTTGGTTCTGTTTGTTTTTAAGATGTCCCAGCCTCCTTTCACTCCACCCCGCAGCTGCCCCTGTGGCTGCTTTATTTCCTGTTCATTGCTCTCCTAAGTCTTTGGCTTTCTTCCAATCACTTTTGGCCCTGTTGATGGAAGATCTGAAGCAGCAGGCCCTCTTTGGGATGGCTTCTGTGTCCTCTTGGGAGACGTGCCAGCTTATCACTCTTGAAGGAAGGGGAAGGGGGTCAGGGAGCGGTATAGCTCCCACAATTAAGCTCATTACTGTCTTATTTGACAGAACAGTTGCTGTTTTTTCTGGTTTCCTGCATGTCAATAATGTGGCTAATAAATCCTGTCTAAACATGACTTGTAGCATAGCGTGAATGGATTTCAAGTTCTTCTCCTGACATGAGCTGGCAGCGTCACATCTACGTGGGTTCAAAATGTAGCATTTTTAAAAAGAAAACAGGGCTACCAAACAGCCACCTCAGAACCTGTGATCAGCCGTGGTGGTAGCAATTCCACGTGATTCATCGCCGCTGCTGTCTGTGCTAGGAGGAGAAAAGCGCAGAAGTGTGTGAAAATGGGCAGATGAGTCTCTTTATCCAGACAGGCTGGGAACAATCTACCCTAACAAAATGTGTATTTCAGTTCTCTCCTGACATCCTCTGCTGCACCACATAGCTCCTTGTAGCACCCCAGAGTGCAGCATACCTGAGCCAGTAGAACCTTTAACGCTTAGTTCCTTAGACACAAGATGAGTTCAGTAAAATACATTGACAAGATGCTGGTCTGTGTCGGGTGCTTCTTTTCAGTGGCGCCTCACCTTGCCCCCTGCGCAATGATTTAAGTTAACACATGTTAATGGCCAGCATTACCCCTCCGCCTCTATTTCTATCTGCCTTCAGATTCTTGTGAAATCTGCATCTCATCCATCCACATTCAGCATCGATTAACCTGCCAGCTGAGAGATAGCTCACAAACACTAGAGCAAGAAGCTTTTATGAATTTTCTTTTAAAATTGAGGTGCACTGAAATGCCATACGTACTGTGTAGTCACTCTTCAGTATACCAGTCTGCTCTGTGGGTGGTTTTAAGCTTACTCATTTTGCTGTGTTGGATCCCTGCTGAGAGGCAGACGCAGTCTGTTGCAAACCAGCAAGTTCTCAACAGAGGTGCTTTTTCATCTGCTTTTCTATCTCCTTGTTTATAACCATTCATGACCAGTGAACCAGTTCAGCCCAACGAGAAGCAAGCTGATGTTAACACTAGTTTCTGACCTTTGTCTTCTATGGGAGACCCCTATTGTTGGAGTGAATTCCCTGCCTAAATGGTCAAGAAATCTTAGGTTTTCTGGTGGTTTTAACAGGTTGCCATAGATACAGGTTTTATCACTAGACTGCATTTTATTGCCTTTAGAGATTAATCATAACCCATTTCCAAATGAAATGCAGTATTGATCGACTGCAGAATGCTTGCTGGCCTTTCCATGCTGGATGGCATGATATTATCTTTACTGCTTTTTTTATTAGTTCTAATGGCGATGGTAGTTTGGTTTTGGTAGGTCACTGCTGGTTCGACACTAATGTATTTCTCTAAATGTGAAAGGGTGGA